GAAGGAAAAAGAAGACAAAAAAAAACAATAACAATCACTAAATAATACTTAAAATATGCCAGGTAATCTTAAATTAAGCAATAAATCAAACAATTTTTAAAGAATAAGTCAACCAATTTTTCCCTAAATTAATTGCAATTTTACAAAAAGTTTGGCCAAACTTCCTTTTTTATTCTGTAAATATTAAAATTTATGCTTACACTTTTCTTGTCAATAATGAATTTATTTACCTGATCTTGTATATCTGCGAAAATAGTCTCGCCTCATCTTATCCCCTCTTTACATCAAATATAATAATTTAAAGTTGAATATGCAAAGATATGGTGAAATGAGGAATCCATAGTAAATAAATAAACAAATCATTTTGTTGCTTACTGATGGAAGTTTATGGTAATTGTAGCAATTAGGTATCAATATCATGGAATTCGTTTATCATACTCATATTCTTTGATAAAAGTACTACTACTGGATTAACTAACCCTACAAAATTTATTTTTTTATATGTAACTTATTAGCTTGAATTTATATGACAAGTGAGAAATATATGACCAAATTATTGGACGACGAACTGTTTGTTATGACCTTTGCATAACATATAAGGAAAAATGGATAGACAATAACTGTCCAAATTATCAACAATAAATCCTTGAACCATCCTTAAACAGTACTTAAGCTTTTTTCTATTTTTAGCTTTTGAGCCATCAGTATTGAGTAATTATCTCTTTCGTTCTTCAAAAATTTCTTTTTAAACGAAAACAATCAATTAAGAAGGAAATTTACCTAAAAACTCACATTTATTCAACAAAATTGAAAACTGTTTGTCTATTTTTGTATATATTTGAACGTAAGCAAATATAAAATTTGTAATTAAAACCAAATAGATATCGCTCCATATTTAAATTTTCATTCATTTTCATCACTTTTGTCTGAACTACGGTAAAAATAAATAAACAGGTCAAACTTACAGTATGCGACAGTAACTGTCGAACACATCACCATAAATACTCGACCATTTTCAGAATAATCAGAAATTCAAAATCCATTTGATAACTACCTTTCGCTCAAATCATTGCGTCGAAACAAAATATTAAAGCAAGAAATATTTTTTCTTTTTCATATCAACTAAAATGTTAAATAATCAAAATCAAAATGGGTGCACCTTAGCGGACCTTAGTGGAAGAAAATAAAGTTGTGGCATAAATTTCAACTTTTCCAAAAAAAAAAACAATCAAAAATAAAATAAATAAAATGACGCTCCAAAAAAATAAAATAATTACTGTCATCCAAAAATAATGTGCCAAGAAAATAAGCATTACATATTTTTTAAACATACTAATTAACAATTAGTTAACGAAAAGATTTCAAAAAAAACTATCGAAATTTTAAAGTCAAAGTACAAGAAATAAGTAAAATTTAAAAATATTTTGAAAAAAAAGTCAAAACTGAAAAATG